CCAAGAAATCACATCAGAAATAATTAATACACCTGGATTAAAATATCCCAGACACGTTTCATTGTATTATATTTCTCTACAAATTGTGCTTCATAATAGAAGACAAGGTAGGGAATTTGATGGAATTTATGCCTTGCGTGTAATTAAATAATTACTATAGATCATGCACGACCGGTTTGTATCTATTATTTAGCACGAGATTGATCGATTAGATAAAAATATGGGGCGTAGCAATGTTACAAACGCGTCCCATCTATACAGGGAGTCATAGAAAATGTGTTAGAGGTGACTCTGGAGGTGTTCCTGAACAACAATTTCCTTTGCAAAATGCAAAATGAGCTATGATTTTTGAATTATTAAGGAAAAACAATGACCAATGACAGTGCGCGTAGGCCTGCACTGACCAATGAGGCCTGCAGTGACCAACGGCCGAGTCACCACTGCCATTGGTCAGCGCAGCCCTACGCGCGCTCTCATTGGTCAAGAGTTTTTCATTCATAATTCAAAAACCATGCCTCACTTTGCATTCTGCCAAAGGAAATTGTTGTTCAGGATCACCTCTCTTCGGCTGTAACACTTTTTGTGGCACGTATTTCCCCTGTTGCACGAACAATTTTTTACCTGTGTCTCATCTTCGATACGAACGTCGCTGTTATCCATCGCGTTACAGTTTGCTAAACAGCGTTCGGAGGCTTGTATCAGCAACGGAGGGAAACGCAATTGTCCCGATCTTGATCGATGCTGTCATCCTGCGCGAGCATGATCGGCATTGACAAAACGTGTGGCGCGTAAGTTCTAACAGGTAGCAGAACGTTCGATCCGGTCATGATAGGGGCAACGATTTAAACGTGGCGTCGTTTCACAAATTATTGTTATTACTCGACGCACGATAATCCACGTTGAACGATCTTTTGCATCAGAATTTACGTAATCGTCAATGCGAATTCAGTTTTTGATGATGGAGTAAGGCATTGTTGGTCAGTCTGGCTTCTGTGCACAGGAGAATGAAGTGATTCTGTTTTAGTTTGTTAAATAATGTTGGTACTGTTT